TTGAATCATATTCGCGATTGTTTCAATTATCCAATTTGATAACAAATGTATTTTAAATAAAAAAAATTAATAGTGCTACCCTTAAATAATTATTATTGACGTGCCATTATTTCGCCAAGAACTATATAAATCATGATGTGGATACTTTTGTTTGATTTTAATTTCGCAATGCCGCGTCTTACAAAAAGACAACAACATATAAAGAATTTACCTAGAAAACGAGGTAGATATATATCTGAAGAGAAAGTACAAGAGGTTACTAATGCGCAGGAGGAATCTATATTGGAAGCATATGATGTAGATAAAGTTCTAAATGTGAAAAAAAAAATATATTCAAAAACTTCAAGAATGACAATATGGAGACGAAATAAAAAAAAAACTGATATGAAAAAGACAGATATATTATTCAATACTAAAACATTAAGTAATATATCGTTAATACCTAATATTGAAATATCAGCTATACTATCACCATTACAGTTATCCCAAACATCGCAATTATCTCAAACATCACAGTCATTTCAAATATTGCAGTCATCTCAAATATCGCAACCATCCCAAATGATTATACAAAACTCGATACCATCTATAAATCTATTTACACGTCTAGAAGAAGTTAATAAACAATGTAAAATTATGAAATCTTCGAAAGATAACATACCTATTTATGATTATCTGCGCCTTTTAAGTATAAGCAAATTCATACGATTGTTATTGAATAGAAAAGGGAGAATGGATGTTAGTAATCAAATTGCACAAGTTATATGGAATAAAGGAGGCTATATGGCAAGGTGTATTCGAAAATGGGGAAACCATTATATACAAACAGGAGAGCTTCTTATCTATTATCAGGAAAAACATAAAAAAATAATATGTTTACACGAAGACAATTATTTCTCTAAAGATTGTCAATTATGGTTACAGCAACAAAAACCGGAATCACATTCACCTAGAGCCCTTAAGACATACATTGAAAGTACATTATTTCCAACACTAAAGCACATTCAAAAAGATACTATTTCTGAATCGACATGCAAAAAATATATGCAAATGTGGGGATATAACTATAATGAAAGACAAAAAGGAGTTTATTATGATGGTCATGAACGATTAGATGTAATAATGTATCGAAAAGAATGGTTAAAAAGAATGTTTACTTACAAAAGACATATGAAAGATTTCAATGGTCATATCATAATAGAACCAAAATTTAAGCCGGAACTTGTTCAAGTGACACATGATGAATGTCACTTTTATGCAAATAATGGATAATGAAGAGTATGGGTTTTAGAGGATGAAAATATCTTGCGCTTGAAACATATTAGATGATCTATTATGGTTTCAGCCTTTATTTGTCAATGTCATGGATTATTACAGCTATCTGATGAACAATTACAAGAAAATCCCCAAATTAAATATAAGGAAAGTTATATTATTCGTTCTATACAAACCGATGGATATTGGAAATCAGAACATATG